TTTTTCTTTCCTCGAGTCTCGATAAGCGCAATGCTGCTTTAAATGGCGTGACAATGTATGTTAAATAATGCCCATATTCGACTACGATTGCTAATCGCTTTGTACTTATGCCATACTTCGTACTTATGCATTATTAATTATTGCAAAACGACGTTTCGCTTCGCTCGTATAATACTTCACAATACGAACAAGAACGTCGTCGCAGGTTGACAACAACAGACTGGAGAGGAATATATACAAGCCAATTTAAACGATCGAATTAGCGAGCGAATCGAGACTCGATGTCTAATGACAGCTCGTGTTAATATACGTAACACATGTTGACTTCTTTATATACAGATGTATGCGGCTAATTAAGTTTTTCCATTAAACATCGAGAGGAATAAACGGTTTCCCAAATAGAAAGTCAAAACGCCTCGTAAGTAAAACCGAACAAGGACGCGTATAATTATGATAAAAAAATGGTTATTATTTACATAGTAGAACTAACGATTTCGCGCGCGATTGCGCGACGACGTGACGGCTTTATGTTCCGCAAAGAGTATATATATATATATATATAGAAAATTGTGCGCAACAACGTGTATGCAAAGCGAGAATGCGCCACGAAAGCACTTATGGTCGTCGACAATCTTGAGAAACCGTGTCTCGATCCACGCGAGATTCAGCTATCAATTGAGGGGTTTTTAGTTGCTACTTCCGCGGAACATCCCAGGTGCGCTTTACTTGCGCAGTGATAAAGGTACAATAGAATTTTATTGATATTCTATTTTGTTTCTATCAATTCTCTCGAATGGAAATTTCTGGCAATTTTTTTATCGCGTCTTATTCGCGCCTCGTAAAAATCTGATGACGCACAACAGATTCGGGTTCTCTTAGCCTAACTGCCGACTGGCCAATCGTCCGGTTGGCGCATGTGCCCTTGATACGTGTTAATAGCGCAACAGCAGCGGTGACATTCCGTGCCATCGTTGGCGTAGTACTCTTTCGTTCGCTCGGGGAGCGAACAGAGGCTATCCAATTACGATACAGCGAGCGGAGTCGACTGTTAGACGTCATCGCCGTTTCTGCGGATTAGTATTGTCATGCGAAAATAGCAGGCACCGGTAATATATCCCCGAGTTATAAACAATTAAAAATTCTCATTTATCCCTCTCACTTTGCGCTTTTAATAGCTGTCCCGCGTTAATTGACACACTGCAGATATACACGCAACGTGAACGAGAACCACTTTTCGAATTAAATTTATTTTACGACAATACCTTTTAATAAAATGTAATAAGTCTCACTGTAAAAAAAAATTAAAAATTTTTTAATAATTATTTTGCTATGGTAAATAAATATTTTGTTCATACATATTTATTATATTTATCTTACATTTATATATTAACTATTAACAGTCGTTACCGAGGCGAATTCAATAATATATGTGACAAGATTTGTATAGATTATTCAATGTGTTATTAATTTTTCAAATTCAACGTCAGTTTTCTCGAATAAAGTATGAAAACATTTATTTCACGTTTTTCAATTTAAATTTTTAAAAAAAAGCATCTCTTTTACCGTTCACCACGCGTTTGCTGACTCACTTTGTGTATAAAATGTTTAGGTCAAGTCAGGTAGGTATGAGATGCTTGGGTTAGATCAGGTCAAGTTAGTTTAAAATCTTGAAACCACACATTTTTAAATTTAAACTAAGCTTTAATAATCTATCGAGATATTATTTACGCTAAAAATTAAAGATTGAAAGATCAAAACTCCACTTTTCGCATAACTGATTCCCAGGTAGAAATCTGCCTCGATTTGCCGAGATTAAATACAGGGCCTAGATAAAAAAATCCAGTTGAAATATCTAAGCCCAGAATACAGAAATTTACCTTTATTTTACCGAGGGAAAAAGTAATTGGAAAAATCTGCGTGGGTTCTCACTGACATATTTTTCCCAAATTAGAATAAATATGAAACTATATGGGGCCAGGATTGAATAATCTAGCTTATAGAAATAATTATAATACAAATCAAGCAAATATTTCAAAAAATTATAGGTCCTAGTTAGACTCCAATAATTTTCTACGAATTCTGGGCGTATTTTGAACCCATCCAGGTTCTACGATAAGACCTGTACGATGTAGGCGTTCCAAACTTTACATAGGTTCTTCACCTCAGATTTTTCACCTGCGGATTCCAGAAATCTTTAAAGGATATATGGACCCTTGTTTATATTCCAGACAAATTTCTACCTGGGCTACACAGAGAGAATTTTCTCTTAAAATTTATCCTGAAAATCATGATGATTGTCGTGGGACAATATGGTATTGAAAGAATTTTATAGAGTTTCTCCGATTATATTTACACAATAAAATATATTAATATTTACGACAATAAGATATAAATATGCTCAATTAGTTTTTACTATATATAAATGTTTTATTGTGCATTTAAATATTAATCAGAGAAACTTTTATATATTATTTCACGATACCATGATTTTTAAGATAAATTCTAAGAGAAAATCTCTCCGTGTAGAAAATACATTTTATAAAATTCTGATTTCAAATTTGACTTTTATAAAATAATGCACAAATAAGTTAACAATAAAAATGTATCAATATTACAAAGTTTCAAGATTTCAGAACAACGTTATTGTAAAAATTCCGAGAGCAGTGTTGCATTTCGACCGATTCATTTTGGATCCAGGAAAATAAAGTGCCTCCCTGACAGTTCCAAAAAAAAAAATCACTGCGCCTCTCGTGATTTGCGACGACAGACAAAGAATAAACGCACCGCTTATAAGAATAACAAAACCTCTCTGTGAGGAGAACCGCGGGTCTTTCGACGTTATTACCTGTCGTTAACGTCAGCCGTCAATAATCCAATAACATTTTTACGAATATTCCCACGGCTAAACGTCCGGCAACTTTTTACTTATTTCGCCGTGAGTTAGGCATACCTCAGGCAACAACCTCTGCCCGATGTCTACGATGTCGTAAATGTCATCGTTACTCGCGCGGTCCGCGTTATTTTCCGCACCGCCAGTTTAATAAGGCGCATATTTAGCGACAAAGCGCGAAACAATGTCGTGAGAATCGATTCCCGAATGCAATTCTAATTTTTATCGATGTAAGTCGTTCGAAGAATATATTTTTTTTTTTTTCTCTCTCTCTCTCTCTCTCATAATAGATGCATATTTCTCTAAATTTTTAATTCAATAATAGTTGGCAGAGAATGCGGGGCATACGTCTACTACTATCCATCAAACGTATCTTATTAGAAAATCAACGAATACAAGTTTCGATCGATACGCTCGTGTCGTCGTCGCATCGTTCGCCGACTCGGAAATAATCGTGGAAAGGAACGGCCTCCCATTTCGGACGATGCGGTTGTACAAGGAAGGGGGTCGTATAGACGGGTGAGTGGCGTTTTCTTCTCGAAACTGAAACGCAGATCTACAAGAATGAAGATGCACCTTGCTCGAATTCAAAAATCAAACCGCCGCTTCAAGTAATCGTAAAAAAAAAAAAAAAAAAAAAATCAAAAATTACGAAGCGCATCTAAAAATCAAGGGATCGATTTTCCGAAAGATTAAAGATCTTTCTTTTATTACGTCCTTCCGCGAGAAAATTTTCGGGGAAAAAAAAAAGAATCGTCCTTTATAGATATCCGGAATTTACCGTATCCTAGCAAACACGAGTATAAATCGCGCGAATATCGAGAATACATAAAGACACCCCAGGGAGACGGCGAAGACAATATATTTATGATAACGACGTAAGAGGTCGCTTTCTCTACTCCCCTCTCTCGGAAAGAATGCTTCGACGCGAGCTGAAACGATCGGGCCTCGCGAGACCAAACGATATCGTCGAAGAGACGAGAAGGGGAATGGGCGGGTCACGCTCAATTCTGTAGCTCCTCGAGAGGAAAGCGAGGAGAAAGAAGGCGACAGGGCAGACGATAGTGGGAGAGCGATTGGCGGGGATACGTAGGTCGAGACGAAGAAGACGGAGCGCACAAAAGATAACGCCGTAGAAAAATCGACAGTCACGAGCTGCAAGATCCACCTCAATCCTCATCTCTCCTCCTCGCAGATACACGCGAAGACGAAGACGAAGGAGAGCGACGTCGTCGCGACGCGACGGCGGCGACGGCGGCGAACGAGGTTAGCCGAGCGGCCGCGAGGTCGTGACTAAGAGAGAAATATCGCGAAATCCAACTCGTCGCCACGCCGTCCCCTATCGACCCGCTCGTCGGTTCTCCTCGAGCGTGCATCAAATCATTCCTCATCTCGCGAATCCTCGACTCGTAAAAAACGAGAACGAAAAAGAAGGAAAAATCGCCACCTATGTGGAGCGTGCGGTCGTTTCGCTCGCGTATTCTTTTTCTCTCTTTTCTTTCTCTTTCTCTCCCTCCCCCCCCCCTATCATATCCCCCGTCCAGTTTTTTCTCCGCAAACGAGCGAATAATTACACGGCGCGTTCCGAGGCCATTGATACGCGGCGTGAAAGCATGCGCGTGCGAAAAGCACCTTTTCGTCGCGACGTAGCTCCGTAGCAACGTAGTAGCTCGGACTACGAGAGAAACACGCCCAGGAGCGGCGCAACCGTCCGAGAAAAAAATTTCGCGTGTACCTGCGCGCACCTTTTCTCTAACCTCCCCCTCTAACCTCCTCTTGACGGGTCGCGTACCTTTCGTTTCAAAGATTCCGGCCGATAAAGAGACCATTCGGAACGATTTCTTTAACGGCAGAAAATAGAGAGGGGAAGAGAAAAGACATCTCTCCGCGGCGAAGGTCAAAAACATATCCTCCGACGATGTCGATACCGCACGCGAGATTTCGCCAGATAATAACCGAATCCGCTTCGCAATACGTCACGTCACGCAAAAGAGACGCGTGTCGTCTGGCGCGCGTGCGGCGAAAAAAAAGACCGAGACCAGAAACGAGAGAGAGAGAGAGAGACGAAGGAGAAAGTAGAAGAGAGATAAAGAAGGAACGAGGTACTTACTCGAAAAGCGTGGCGTCCAGTCGGGAACTCCGTTGGACTCCGTGTCTCGGAGTCATCACCTCCGTCACGCCGACGACGACGACGATCCTCGTCCTCTCGCCTCGGATCGAAAGTCGCCGCCTCGTCGAGAGAGATCCGGTATGGCGCGAGCACACTGTAAACACTTTTCTCCGCAAACGAGACGGAGAAAAACAACCACCATCCACCACCACGTAAAGAGACGGTCCGCGACAAAGCACGAAAATGTTATATATCGGTGTCGGGCGAGAGTATACGTCCGAGCCGATCAACGTTTATTTATCCACGCTACGCAGAGTTTCTCTTTCCCCGGAGTAGCGTAGCGCGAGATTGTTAGACGGTGACGACGACGACGCGTCGTGACGCGAAACGGCCGGCGTCTCGTTCGACAAATATCACGGGTATCGCGTTCGGGCGCGCGAGATTCCCGCGCGACTCGACACACACAACTTGTTTACTAGAACGCGCACCACGCCATGCCCCGTGAACGTGCGCTCGCGATCTCCCCCACCACGCCGCCGAGCAAAATAGGCGCATGCGCGCTGGCGCGACTCGCCGCCCGCGTCTACTCTTTCCCTCTCCACGGTATGCTTTGTACGTACGCGCGATAAAGCCGCCGCCGATGCGCGGCTCGGCTCTCTCTCTTCTCTTTCTATGCCTCGGCGTACTACGACGCAACCGCGCGACGAACCACCACGGTATGTAACGTGCGAACGCGAGCAACGGGTCATCGTACTCTCGCGCCATCGTCGACGCGCCTTCCTTTTACGGAACCGTTCCTTTTTCGAACTGTCAAACGGCACCCCTGGCGACATCTGGCGCGCGCGAGCCTAACTAAAATCGACGATCGGATGATAATCGATCGATCGAATCGATTTTGAAATTTGAAAAAGATCAAGTGGAAAAGGAGATTAGATAGAACGATCGATTTTTTGAGATTTCTCTGATAAGAGACGGCGGGCGAGTTGGAAA